GGGGGGGGGCAATGGGAGGAAAAAGTATAAAGGAGGTGAATAAATCTTGTTTTTTTTCTTTCTCCCAATATCCAGGTAAGCATTTTAAACATCGCCGGTAACAAGACTGGTAACAGACGCACAGCCAACGTGAGGAGCTTGGGTTACTCTGACCTTTTCTGCTTGTCCAAGGATGCTCTGTGGGACGCCCTGACCGAGTACCCAGAGGCCAAGAGGAAGCTCATGGAGGCGGGCCGACAGATTCTGATGAAAGACAATCTTTTGGACGAAGATGCTATGAGGAAAGCTGAGGAAAAACAAGAGACGATGGACCAAAGACTGGATCGCATCGATTCGAGTCTTGATAATCTTCAGACGCGATTCGCTCGGCTTTTAGCCGAGTTTAACACCACGCAGCAGAAGCTCAAGCAACGTATGACGAAGGTGGAGAAAATTCTCACTCGTGAGGATGACGATATTTCCACGTTTTCCAATCTCAACACCGATGGCACCAACAGAGACTCGACCAAATGATATTCTCGCACGATCTTGGTAGCTAAATATCGAAGATGCATCAGTGAAACAATGGGTAAAGGTCCAGCTGAGGTCTCCTTTCTCACCATGAATTAAAGCCGTCTTTCGGGAATGACAGCATGGATACCTGCACGTCAGCTTCACGGAGACTGGAGACCTCGGATGTGCATAGCAAGTCAAGTAGATTCCGAATGGAGGTCTCATCCAGGCTTTTACCAATACATGTCGTTGTGAAATTTCATGTTACTAGCGATTGACAAAAGTCATGATGGGGACTCAAAGACAAACCCAAATTTTGCAAAAGAATGAGTCTTTTTTGTACTTGTGATTGTTTGGCGTTTGTCAGAGCCGTGGGTCTCCTCTTATAAGCCCAACAACATTCAAAGTCACCAATTTCACGTTCATATTATGAGCGTTAAGGATAATTGATCATGTGGAAAATATTCCACAGAAACCACCACCACTAAACCCGCCCTCATTTTGTTTTTTGTACTCCTGCTTTTGAGTAATAGACACCGGATTTTCGAAGGTATCGTTTTGCCTTTTCCAGACAGTTTCCAAAGAGAATATCAGAATTAGGTCACACAAGTGGTTAACACAATTTCCAGAGGGAGAACCGTTATTTTAAAAAAGTATTTTATAGCCTTTTCTTCGAGTCAGTACCACTACACAGTAAGGAGTAGTGAATCTCAAAGGTACTGCATGTTATGCGTGGATCCCGTATGTGTGAAAGCAAACACACATGAATCTGGTTCATTGCATTTTTCATGCAGCAATCCAAGATGGAGATTTTGTATGCAAAGGTTTCTGTCAAAAGCTGTCTACAATAGCTCAATTGTGATAGCTCGTTCTGTTATAAACATTCACAATGACGTTGTCTCTGAAACAATCGCATTCGTGTGGACACTGAGTTTTCTGTGTGCCAATGAATTGTGTCAATTTGGCGTCGGACAAGGAGGTTCGTGAGCACGTCAATTCGTGTCACCTTTCCACGAACACCTGGGACATCTTTGAAGCGCACATGAGGCATTTGTTGAAATTGTTTCATTATCTGTGCATAACATAATATTATCTCTTAAGTATGCAGCTGATTCACAGTCATGTGGGCGTTACTGAAAGAGAGAGAATGTGTGTGTGTGTGTGTGTGTGTGTGTGTGTGTGTGTGTGTGTGTGTGTGTGTGTGTTTCATTGTAAAAGAAAGAGAGTGTATGTGCATGTGTATATATGTGTCTATGTATGTGAGTATAAGTGATTGCATATATGTGTTGACATGTCTTTTTAATCTGTAAGTAAACATTATGTCCTTTAACGTTCATGTTATTGCCACTGCATTTTGCAAGACATGGCGCCACCCCTAGTGATAAAACACACCGCTAGAGACGACAGCACACCCTTACCTTTGGGAACACTTCTTTAACATACGGGGACACAATATTGGTCTTGGGAACACACCTTAAGCAATGTGAACACGCTGATAAGGATGGACACACACCTTTATGTTTGAAAGCACACGGGGAAGGATGTGGACACCTATTGATCAGGTCTCTTACTTTACTACGTCGTGCTTCATTGTGATCAGGAGTCGTTACAGTGAAGTGCAATATTGCTTTGAGCCCAAGACGTGTCCACTTATGACACGAACAGAACAGAAATAGCACTGTGATTATACTCTTTGGTATGTTTTTGTCCATTATGGCATCTTTTCAAATAGTTGCTTTTCCCTTTATGTCTGTATTTAATACTGGGTTGTTGTTTTCACCAAAGTTTTCCACATACCTCTGCAGTATGTGGTCCAAACAATTGTGATTTCATTTTTCGGGTGTACAGTAAGTTATTCAACACGATATAACTTGAAACTTCTTGAATTTTTAACTCGTTTTCTGTGATAGCGATTTAGCAGGATGATTTGCAAATTTGGGGCTCTGCAAGCCATCCATGAAATCCAGTCGAGTCGTGCATGCAAGCTGAGTATTTTCAGTAATGGGAAACAAAATGCGCATCAAAACAAACGTAGGTAAACTATACCAACTGTTAGACCCAAAAAGTACAAGACAGTCTCTCCAGTTTGATGAAGCTCACTGGTGAAAAATGAAATGACCCCGCTTGGTAATAACTTTTTGACGTCAAGAAAATATCAAGAAATATTTGCTACAAACTATTTCAACCTCTACTGTACGAATAGTTTGTTTGTTTTTTTACAACGTGATAGTGGTTACTTTTTATGATTGTCCTGTGCCTAAAACTAGCATACAATAATATTGTTGACTGTGTTCTTGTTTTGGTTTTATTTCTAGTATTAGAAAACTGCTGCTTTTTGTCACTTTTAAATATTTTATTATCATTTCGTAATGTCACATTTTTGTTCTTGTGCAGAAGAATGCAAATCAAAACAAAACAAAACAACAAAAAACAAGAACAAGAACAAAATTAATTAAAGGTAAGCGTATTGGTTGAACCATAACCTGCAGGGTGGAATTCTTGTACGCTGTAGTTTAATTCTCTAAGTGTTTATTGATTTATTTACAGTAATTATAATACTTTTGTTGTGAATGATCTTCCTACTCATGTTATTTCACTAGCCGTCCATGTTTGGATTTGTCAAGACTGGGATATAAATCACCGTAAATGTTACTCTGAGATTCCCACATGTCCTCAACAAGTTTACCCCTTGGGACAAGGGCATTACAGCATTCATTTAACACAATAACAGTTTTCTTAACACTTTTCAATTAATGCTTCTACTAGTTGCTGGGTTATTTTTCATTGGCTCCTCCTGGAGGCACAAACTCAGGTTGTTTGCTCGCCTGCGTATTTCCCGCTTGCAATGTATATTATCTGGGTACGGAAAAGCAGTCTTGTGACTTCACCTGATAATGGGGGAGGGGGGGGGGATAACATCAGGAAAAATGGGCCGATGCACCCTGGGGGGCACAAGCTGGAAAGCTTATACTTCCCATAACACCTACCACATTTCAGAACATTTTCGTCGTAATGTGTCAAATTTAGCTGATATTGTTCGGGTCAAAATCAGTTTATTTGTGTCATTCGCTCTCTTTTTCCCGAGTTTTTTTTCTTAATGCTGGGTTATAAATTATATACCTGGTGTTGTTCTCGTTACACTTTGCACATGCTCAGAAAAGATATTTGAGATAGAAACGTAGTGAAAGAACGCTAACCAAACCGTTATGCATAAAGCTATTATTACAATGAGTACATAGAAAACTGACTACCACTTCATTCCCTTCTTCTCATATAAACTGATTCTAGATTTTCTCTATTACTATTGTTGAAAAAAATGCAAACCCAACAGCAACGAGATCTTTTTTTGAAAAATAAGGAAGGGTTTATTCTTTTATGTTTTATTGAATTTTAATTGGTACCGTCAAAATGTATCAAAAGGTGGACTATTTTCTAAAGGGGCTTTAAAAAAAGATACATTATATCTCTTCTGCTTAGGTTTCCTGTACATTACTTGTTCGTGTTTTTTGGGGGTTTTTTGTTGGAAAAGTAGCTCTTAAAACAAGTGTTTTTGTTTAATGACAAATAGGTATACAATTACTAGGTGGCGAAGAATTTACAGTTCTCTAGAAAAACGTTCGATTTGTATTATTTTACTTTATAGTTCTATCCCCGTGGTTTTAGGCACCCCGCATAATTTAGCAAAATTTAATCATTTTTTGCATAATTTCTAATTATTTTCCTTTATTATTCTTTGTTAAAATTAACATAATCGCATCATTTCTCATTTTGGGCTCAGTTTGCATAATTTCAGAATTTTTCTTGCCTAAAACGACGGGAACTGAGAGTTCACTTTAGATGCTTTTCCTTTAACACAGATTGTATTGATTTTAGAACAAAATCCGTTCTAGTAATAAAGATAAATTGTTGAAAGCTATAGGCAATGGAAAAAAGCTTGATAATACGTGGTCAACCCGTCTTTTAACGTGTTTGTCCTCATCACAATGGAGGATAAATCCACCGGTGTGTAGGAAGTCAGAAATCGTAATGGTTTTGTTCTCAGAAGAAGAGGAGACACGTATGGGTGAGGTCAGGAGTATGTGTCAGTCAGTTTTATCCTCAATCGGGGAATAATTTCCTTTTTTTCGCCAGGATTCCAGGAATAACTTAGATTTAGGATTATTTTAAAAGGCGTTATCAGTTCTATTCGATCTACTATCACGGACAACAGAAGAAGCTGTTTAATCCAATTTTCATTTCCTCATCACATACGTATTTCGAAGGTGTAATCCGTAGCCATATGGCTTTATTTAAGACTAAGAGCATAAGGACAAAAACACAATTTTGTGAGGCAGCGTGGTGAAGTCATGCGCTCGTCAAAATAACGACATCGGAGAAACAGGCATTTTTCTGTCAGTTTGGAAATTTTTATCGAATTTTTATTTTTAGGCTTAACCTCTTTTATTTCCATATAAAAACATAAATTCACGTTGAATTTTACAGAAAAACATTGTTTGGAAGCAAGGCAAATAAATAAGCTTTCAGATGATACAATAACTCTACATGCCCAAATATTGACGAGCTCCTGATTCCACTGCGTCGTGACACAATTAGATATTATTATACAAGAAACAGCAGTGGCGGCTCGTGGTTTGTGAAACTGACCGGCTATCATTCACATTGATCTCCTCCCATCCCCACCCCCGCCCTGCCTTAACCTCC